TTCAAGCCGCACATTCCATATATCTACTAAGCTCTGGGTAAAAAACAACTTTTCTTCAGTTTACCTCTAAACCACTTGCTCCTCTTCTTAAACTCATACCCACTGGTCTGAGACATCTCTGTCATGTGGAAGAGATTCTCATGAGCTACTCTGTCTAACCCTCATAATTTTCTATTCCTCAATCAGATCCCCATCAGCCTCCTCTACTCAAAGGAAAACAAACTCAGCCTATCCAGTTTGTCCTCATAAGTGAGACTTTTCATCCCAGGCAACAGCCTAGTGAATCTCCTCTGCGCTCTCTCTTGTGCAACCATGCCTTTCTGATCATGTGGTGAAGAGAATTGCAAGTGGAGTATTCCATCTGTGGCCTAACCAATGTTTTGTAAAATTATAACAAGACTTCCTTGCTCCTATGTTCTACTCCCCCGCTAAGAAGGCAAGCATCCCATATGCCACTTCACTACCCTGTCTAACATGCTGTCACCGTTGGGGGATCTATGGACTTATACACTAAGGTCTCCTCGTTCCTCAATATTCCCTAGGGACCTACCATTCATTGTGTATATCCTTCCTTTCCCTTCCAAAATGCATCACCTTGCACTTATGGGGATTAAATTCTTTCTGCCATTGCTCTGCACAATTTACCAGTCGATCAATATCAGGCTGTAGCTTGAGACCAACTCCTCACTATCAACACCATGTCACCTGCAGACTTACTAATTATACTTACTACGTTCACATCCAAGTCATTAATGTACATAATGACCAGCAAGGATCCCAGCACCAAACCCTTTCATGGTCGCAGGCTTCCAAATACAAAATAAACACGCCACCCTTCCCTCTTCCTAATAAGCCAATTTTGGATCCAGTTTGTCAACTTGGATCCCATTGGGTCTTACATTTTGGACCATCCTTCATGTAGGACCTTGTCAAAGGCCACATTAATAGCACTTCCTTCAGCAATATATTGAGTCACCTTTTCAAACATCTCAATTAAATTAATCAGATAGGATCTCCATGTAACAAATCCATGCTGACTATCCTTGATCAATCCCTGCCTTTCCATTGATTAATCCTGTCCTTCTGAATATTTTCCAATCATTTCCCTAACACTAAGATCAGACTGACTGGTCTGTAATTACCTGAGCTATCTCTGCTGCCTTTCTTGAACAAAGGAACCACATTAGCTATCCTCCAATTATTTGGCACTTCACCTGTGACCGGCGAAGTATTAAATATATTCACCAGGGTCTCAGCAATCTCATCCTTTGCCTTTCATAGCAGTCTGGGATACATTTCATCAGGCCCTGGGGATTCATGCACCTTTATGCTAACTAATACCTCCTCCTTATTTATTTTAACATGTTCGGGAACCTCACCATCCCAAGTGAAATCCCTAGCTATATTGTCTTTTTGCTCTGTGAATACGGATGATAAATATTCATTTAAGACCTCACTTACGTCCAGGCAGAGGTTGCCCCTTTGGTCTCTAATAGGTCCCACTCTTTCCTTGGTAATTCTCTTACTTTTAACAGACGTATAAAAAGCCTTGAGTTTTCCTTGATCCCATCTGCCAAAGATATTTTGTGGCTCGTCTTTGCTCTCCTAATTTACATTTTAAGCAACCTCCAACACTCACTATACTTTCGAAGGGTCTCCCCTGTTTTTAATGTGCTGTACCTGATATATGCTTCCTTCTTTTTCTTTATCAAACTCTCAATATCCCTTAACATCCAGGGCTACCTGGACTTTCTGCCCTTTCCCTTCACTCTGAGAGGAACATGCTGGCCCTGAATTCTCACTATCCTACTTCTGAACCATTCTCACTTTCCAAATGTAGACGCACATGCAAGTAGAAGCTCCCAGTCCATGTTTGCCAGAGCCTGTATAACGATATTGAAATCAGTCTTTCCCCAATTTAGACACTTAACTTCTGCACTATCCTTATCCCGTTCCATAATGACTTTGAAACTTACAGGGCTATGGTCACTATATCAAAAACGCTTGCCCACTGAAACTTCAACCACTTGACCAGCTTCATTCCCTGCCCCATCTCTAGTAGGACTACCTACATACAGCACTAGCACAAAAAGCTCTCCAGGATGACTTTAAAAATTCCACAATGTCTAATTTGCTCACACTAAGGCAGTCCTAATTAATGTTAGCAAAGTTGAAGTCCCTTACAACTATAACTCTGTTTCTCTCACACCTTTCTGTGATTTGCCTGCATATCTTCCCCTCCATCTCCCTCTTACTGTTGGGAAGCCTGTAATATAATCCCAGAAAGGTAATCACCCCTTGTTTTATTTCTAAGCTGTACTCAGATGGCCTGTTTTGAAGATTCTACTCATTACTGCAGTGATGGTTTCCTTTATCAATAATGCAATGCTTCTACCTCTCTTCCCCCTGCTGTGTCTGAAACATCTACATCCAAAAATGTTGAGCTGCCAGTCCTGTCCTTCCTTCAACCATATCTCAGTGATTCCAACAATATCATCATATTCCCATGTGCTAATCAATGCTCTAAGTTCATCCGCTTAATCAGTCAAGCTCCTTGCATTAAAGTAGATTCAATTTAGCTTTCTAGACCTTCCATGTGCCACATCCTGCCCATGTCTTCGCCACCTACTGGACTGTCCTAGCGTTCCTTCTATATCTGATTGGACCTTGCTGCTGACTTTACATCTACTCAGTGCACCACTCCCCTGCCAAAACCGTTTAACCTCCCAGCAAGGATATTGGACTCATTCCAGTTCAGGTGCCCAGCTTTTACAGATCTCACCTATTGCACAAGTTGTCCCGATCAGCCAAAAATCTAAAGCTTTCCCTCCTACACCATCCCTTTAACCAAGTGTTCATCTGACCTATCTCACTATCTTCCTGTTCCTATACTCAGTAGCGATTGGCACTGGAAGTAATCTGGAGTTTGCTTAGTAGTCTTTCTCTTTAATCTACTACCTAACTCTCTAAATTCATTTTGTAGGATCTCTTTTATTTTTACCCATGTCATTGGTACCAATATGTATCACAACTGCTGGCTGTTCATCCTCCTCCTTCAGAATACCCTGGAGCTTCTCTGAGACATCCCTGACCCTGGCACCAAGGGGGCAACATAAGAGTCCTGCTTGCTGCTACAGTTTATGTTACAATCGAGTTCCCTGCCACTAAAGCTCTCCCAGTCTTTTTCCTGCCCTGATGTGCAGCAGTGCCGACTGCAGTGTTACAAACTTGGCTGTTCCTGCTTTCCCCTGAGAGGGGATTCCCCCTCCCCCATACAGTGTGCAGAATGGTATATCTGTTTGAGAATGGAATGGCCAGAGGAGCTCCTGCACAGAGAACCCCAGAGGGTACTAATCTTGCAGTGGTAGTATCCCTACCTCAGGAATAGATTTCTAAATGTATTATGTAAAATATATACATATATACACATATGACCTAAGTGGTTAGAGAACAAACTGATGAAAGACCAATTTAAGATTCTTGTGGAGAAGGGTCACTGAACTTGAAACATTAACATTGTTTTTCTCTGCACAGGTGCTGCCAGACCTGATGAGTTTCTCCAGCAATTTCTGATTTTTTTTTATTTTCAGCATCCACAATTCTTTGTTTTACTTAAGATTCTTCTCAATAGGATCTTCAATCACGGATGAACATATGGAACAAAAAGAAAGGGTTCTGAGGAAGGGTCACTGGAGCTGAAACGTTAACGCTGATTTCTCTCCACAGATGCTGCCAAACCTGCTGAGCTTTTCCAGCAATTTCTGTTTGTTTGAGCATGTAGAATGGACTGCGAGGTGAGGGAGTCTTTCAGAGATTGAGTGGGTTGCGGAAGAGGCAGATGTGCGGGGGGTGATCAATGAGGGAGTGTGGCCCTAGGTAAATGCACCGAAACGGACCGATCATCCTCCATTGATCGGTAGAAAGGACTCATTAGCGAAGTCAACTGACTGCAATCACCTCGCAAAACTGAAGCCATGGAAAGGCTTAGAGAAGCAACAGAGCATGGAGTGTCTGCCCAGGCAGGAATTGGTATTCACTGCACTGGCTATCTCCTTTCACTTTGTGACTTCGAACTTTTATCTGAAGCTCTTCAATGACGGAAGCGGGTTCCCACTCAATCCCAGGTAAAAAACTACCCAGTGATCGGACAGGGGGGCAATGACAGCATTGGGGACAAATGAGCTGGCAATGACTGAGGGATGAGAATTCAGGAGGAGCACGGGTTTGGCTCACCTTAATCAGCTTGTTCTTGGATTTTCATTCTGTCCCCTCTGTGCCTTTATTTGCCGTGTTTTATTTCCCCGGCTGTTCCTTTCCATTCAGTATTAGGAAGACGGAGGGGCCGTGCTTGCTCTAAGTCTGCTGACAGCTGTGGTGAATGTATTAAACGGTTATTAGTAACCTGACACTTCATTCTGCAGGGAGGAGCCGCTGCAAACTCAGCCCTGAAGCCAGTGGAAGGGGGTTTGTTTTGGGGGGGTGGAGGAGGAGATGTGGATATCCAGGAGGAGGACAGCAATAGCAATCCGGACAGACACACATCCAGAGCTGAGTGTGTGAGTGAGAGCGTGTACCGTGGGCAGTCGGTTCAGTCCCACATCAGCAGGAAGGGAGCACAGAGCCCGGGACCTTAGGCTGGAAGGAGACCCTCAGTAAACTTCTTCCTGAAAGGCTGGGGTATTTTTTTTGGGAAGGGTGGGGGGCTCACACAGACAGAGGTGGAGCTGCTCCGGGAGATCCAGGGGAGGGGAGAAGGGGGTATTTTCTCCCGCTTGCAGCCCGGGTGAGACCTAGGGGCAATTAACATCTGCAAACAATAAGATTTTATTTTATAAAAGCCCCTTTCCCCACTACATAGACAGCAGAGAATAGATCAGATAGTGCCTCTGCGTGTGTGGCTCTGAAGGGCCAGGAGCTGGAACCAAGAAAGGGGGCTGAGCTGTAAGATTGAACAATTTTTCTGCTTCTGCCCCCTCCCCCTGGGCTGGTTCCTGCGGGCGATGGCAGCTCACCGGCCACCCGGCTTTAAGTTTAGTGCCCGGGGTCCCTGGCAGCTGTACCAAGACCAAGGGCTGCAGAGAAGGTCGGTCTGGGAGTGAGGGAATCTCTCTCTCTCTCTTCATGTCTTGGAGAAGCATTTCAACATCCTGAGCCATTCCGAGCCGGACTACAACATCACTGACAGGAGTGGGGCTGGAGAGACCGGGCTAAAAGGTAAGGTGGGCTCAGGGGTTTAGGGGGCAGTGCCCAACACTGTCAGGCGGGGAGGGGCAGTATCCAGATTGAGGAGGCAGAAAGCAGCAGGAGGGGGCAGTGCCCAAGTCGAGATGGGCAACTTTTTATTTTGGAAAATGTTTCCTGCGTGCATTCTCATTTCTGTTTTAACAACCGGGCTGTAAACCCCATCGGGACTGATATCTCCGGGCAATGTCTCCAGCTGTTCGCCTGGTTGTTTGGGTAGTGACCGGTTAGCTCAAGGTTACAGGCGGGGCTGAGGTGGGTGGAAGTACCTGGGGGCGTGTACTGCTCCCCCCCCCCCCCCCCCACCAATCCTGTCCGCCCCCAGCCCTCACTGCACTGCCTCCCCCCCTACTGCCCTGTCATTGCCCTGACGCCCTCCAATTGCCCTCTCGCTGCCCTGATCCCACCCTAACTGCCCTCTCACTGCCCTGTTACCCCTTAACTGCCCTCTATTGCCTGGATCCCCCTCTATCTGCCCTCTCACTGCCCTGATTCCCCTAACTGCCCTCCCACAGCTCTGACTCCCCCCTCAACTGCCCTCCCACTGCCCTGTTACCCCTCAACTGCCCTCTACTGCCCCAATTCCCCTCCATCTGCCCTCTCACTGCGCTGCTACCCTCTAACTGCCCTGACACCCCCCTAACTACCCTCTACTGCCCTGATCCCCCTCCATCTGCCCTCTCACTGCGCTGTTACCCTCTAACTGCCCAGACACCCCCCTAACTACCCTCTACTGCCCTGATCCCCCTCTATCTGCCCTCTCACTGCCCTGA